CCGTCAAGATCTTAAATTAACCTAATTTGACCTCGACCTGGTGCTCTGTCGTACCGGCTCTTGGCCTTCATCACCCCTCGATCTGTTATTGCAGCGGGTCAATAAGAATTCTTTTCAGTGACGCCTTTTACAGGAAATTGGAAAATTGGTATTTAACATGGTTTGGTTTTGAAATTCGCAGAATTTTTATAACGCAAAATATGAATTACTTTACTACGCAGTAAAATTGCAGTGAAATTTTTGTCGATGTGTCAAGACGCTTACGTCACAATATAAACAAAAAATCAAAGGAATTTTATAGATATAGTCCAGGGCGTATCAAATAAATTTTATGAATTGAATATTTGATGGTTATAACTAATTTATACATATATTATGGATAATAAATTGTATTTTTTTAAAACATAATATATTTGCCATAAAAATCTAATACTACACGGTGGGAATTCTATGCGTTGTATATTTTTGTATATTTTTTGTCGTGTAGGATGCAAAAATAAGAAATGCAGATGAGCGTGTTATAACTGTAAATAAAACCACATTTATGAAACTAATTTTTCTATTTTACCATTTTGAACCACACTATATCAGAAAAAAGCTCATTTGGGCGCCTCCAAATACTATGCAGTGCATACCTTGCAGGCCCGTTATCGCCGGCCTTGAAAATACCAAATCTATATTGCAATAATATAGATTATTGATCCACTCTGATCTGATCCACTAGGCCATATTGAGAATACATCATCTACATACCTCCACCATACTGTGGGTTTTAAATTTTGTTTAGAAATGATATTTGTTTCAAAATTTTCCATAAATATATCGGCTAAGAATGGAAATAAACTAGAGCCCATTGCTAGACCAAACTTTTGTTTATAGAATTCATTATTTAGTTGAAAATATGTATTATCAGTACATAATGTTAATAACTCCATTATAGCCGATATGTTTAGTCTTGTTCTAATTGCCAATGAATTTACTGTTTAATTTTCTGTTTTAATTTAATTTACTGTTTGTATTTTGAGAACGATTTCCGAAGTGGAAATTGAAACGTCAATAAACGTATTTTTATCTTTAATTGTGGCTTATTCCCAGTTAAATAGTAATTAATTTAAAATGCCACAAGAAAATAGCTTCAGAACAATACCATTCAATTAAGCAAAAACTATTGCAAGAAGTAGATCTTAACACAGAAAAGTTATTACAAATTTCTCAAAATATAATTACAACTCAAATGCAAGCCCAACAGTTAAATAAACATTCAGAAGCTGTGGTATACAATGTGGAGAATAAGAAAGATGGTCCACGATCAAATATTTACCAAAATAACAGTTACAAGAGTCACGATTCAAATTATTCAAGGTATAGAAGTGAAATTCCAGGGCCAAATTGGAGAAATGATAATTAATCAACAGCATAGATCAACAAGAAACCTACCATTTTTGTTTGTTGGGGAAAATGTATTTGATAAAAAGTTTCATCATTACCGTGGTAACCAGCTACTGTGATAGAAATAGATCTTTTTCCAAGATCATATGTCGTTGAAACACCTGAAGGTGTACATTAAGAACAGACAGCACATATTAAAACCTGCCTGTACAATTGGTAGACATAATGCCGAAGTGATAGTTAAGCATGAAGATAGTACAGCAGCTAGTTCCACTTTGCATGAGGCTCCAAATATGAACAACAATACACCAATTTCACTTCAAAGTAATAACAATTCAAATGTTAGCTTACATAGGTCACACAAACAAAATGTAAATAATCAATTTTGTACTAGGAATGGTCGAATAGTTTAGAATAGGCTAAAAAGTTTTTTATTTTCAGAAGATTAATATGGCAATGAAATACTGCAAGTATATTAAATGTGTTTGTATAGCTTAGTTTTTTTTGTTAAAAAAAAAGAGGCATGTTATGTTGTGTTAAGTTGTAAATCTACCTTAATATTTGTATACCTACCTTAACATTAGTGACATGTCAAATAGAAGAAGAAGCCCGGGAGTGAAAGAGTCTTTAGCGTTTTAAAACGTTTTATTTCTAGCGATCGCACATAAATCACACGGTACTAAGTCAGGGCTATATGCTGGATGACCCACCAAATCATAATATTTCGCTTTTAAATATTCGGATTTTATATGAGTCGTTTAAGAGCTGACATTGTCTGGATTCAAGAGGATGAGATAATTTCGGTTGTTTTTACGGAGTTCACCAATCAATTATGGCAAACAAATAGTTGTATAAAATTCAATATTTCTTAACCCAATCGTGGCAACATGTTTCTTTTTCCAAAAAATCTCGCGACCGTTTGTTTGCTAACACTTCAAGCACGAACTACTTTTATTGGCTTTGGTTCTGAACCTTTGATTAGTTTTTGGCTTAGACCACATAACAATATACATCATGTTAAGCTGTAAATTAGATATATACAGTATAAATGGCAACACTAAGCGTCGTTGGCTTTAAACGAACCTGCTTCGTTAACCCGTCGCAAATAATTGGACATTATACAGTGGTTGTTTAAAGCATATAATACACCACCTGCAGTTAAGTGATGTATTCTGTGTTCAAAGGATTAACTGCAAAGAACTTTAATTTATTTTTGTAAACAACGCACGCCCGCAGAAAATGTTCAAGTATTAAAATGGTTTTATGGTGGTAATTCTGGCCAATGTCGTGCGTAGATTTATTTTCTGTACTTTTTTTGACAGGAGACCAATTCCTTGAGTATAGTCAATTCATTGTTTAAAATTTTGAGAGTTATTGCCTAAAAAATTGCAAAAAATATCACGCTCAAGAAGTGTCATCAGAAAAAGTTAAGGAAAGAGAATACCTTGATACAAGAATTTTAAATATTCGAAAACACAGCAGCTTTATCCAGACGATTATTTTCGAAGAATGGAGTTTTGTGTAACTTTAATAACGAAGGCTAATGATAAACCAAATTTTATTAAAACATTTTATTTTATTTATATTGTGAACTAGCATTTTAGGAGACCACATAATAGGTCCATTTTTTATAGAGGGCAACTTGAATAGCAGAGAATACCTCGATTTTTAACAGAATCATATTTTTCCCGCTATTCTCAATCTTGCTGATGTAAATCTGTAGAATGTTTGGTTAAATCAAGACGGTTGTTTAGTTCAGAACGCTCGAATTATTAGAGAGTATTTAAACAATATTTTCCCGAATCGAGATATTATTGGAACAGGCGATATTAAGTGTCCTGCGTGATTTCCAGATCTTACATCAATGGACTTCTTTATTTGGGAACCTATAAAAGCATCATTTCCGATCATCCTAAGGCTAGAGCCCAAAATTTTAATTAATAAAAAAATAGAATAAGAGAAGTCTCATATTCTGTTACAGCAGAAATTCTTTCATCTGTCCGCAGAAGTTTTTATGACAGATTGGGGTACTGCTCAGCTGTAGAAGATCAAAAATTTGAATTATTTGTGTAGGACATAGAGACATATTTCTTATTTTATTAGGATTTCTTTTTTATTTTCAATAAGAGTATATTTTTTGTTTTATCGTTTTAAAGAAATGCACTTTTATTTTTAATTCAACCACAAAAAATTGTTCACATTATTAAAAACCGATACTAGCACCGCTTTATAAAGATCAGTGTATTTTTATCTAGTTTAGGTACTATAAGAAATAAACTGAGCATACGTAATGAAAACAAACATCGAATTCGAATGACAAAGATGTAAATACCATCCGTTGTTATGTGCTACTAAATGATTTTGATTTTGAATCTTGCTGTCGGTGGAGATCGGGAATTACAATTACCTCGTACGAGGCAATGTTGCCGATCTTACCGCTTTGTGTAGAGTGCAATATAACTTAAAGTACTGTATCTATATTTTATCATCAGTTACGATGTGCCATTGTTTCCAATGAATTATTTGAGTGTAACACGGTACCAATCGATACGTGCCTTCTTTTAAACATCAGTTAAATCTTAAGGAAATGGATGGTAGCACATATTGTTCACTGCCAAATAACCATGCGATCTGCTTTAATTATGTCGCGCACAGCATCAATGTTGTCAACAGCTGTAGCCGCTCGGCCTTCAAGGAATTCGTCACTGAGGTTGCGTCCACAGTTGAATTCTCTAAACTGTAAATAGATGATGGTTTTGGTGCACCAGGCGTGTTAAAATGGGCCAACTTAAAATTCAGCCTGTCTTCGGACAGCTGAACAAAAACTGGAACAATGTTTATTCAAATATAGAATTACTACAAATAAAATAATAATTTTATATATATTTAAAGCAAAAAGTAATCATTTTGAATACCTAAAATAGGTATTATTGCAGACTAATGGAAAAATAGGTGAAGATGCATGCAGTAGAATTACGGTTGTTTGGATTAAGTGGATGAAGTGTGTTGTGTGATAGAAAAATTCCAATAAATCTAATGAAAAAATTCTATAAACCAGTCATACAAATAGCTATGATATTCGGAACTGAAAGTTGGGTAGTTAGCAAGAAAGAGTAACAACGAATGCATGTGACGGAAATGAGACTACTACGGATAAATGGAGTGACAAAAATAATACAATTTAAAATGAGTGTGTGTGTGTGTGTGTGTGATAGCGCGTGTGTGTATCTGTGAAGAGAGAGAGAGAGATAGCATTAGACAAAGAATCTTTTTGCTAAAGAAAAACATCTAGGGGTGACACCAATTGATGCCAAAATAAAAGAGCATTAAATAAGATGGTTTGGTCATGTTAAAAGTCGAGATGTTATTCACCCAATCCGAAGAATTGCTGATCTGCGGATTCTTGAAAGGAGTAGGAGGGGAAAATCAAAGAAGACCTCTGAGAGACACTAAGGCAGGACACGTCGGTAAAGGGGATTTACACTGATATGACCTAACATTTAAGGAGAAATGTGGTAAGGAAAGCTGACCACGCATAGGTATAAAGATAAAGGGGATGATGATGATCATTTCCTGCTAAATTTGGTAACACTTGTAACTAAAAAATGCTGCACGGTATTAAAACACTTTTATTAAAAAAAAATCACATTTTTATCGAGACACTTAAAAGTTAACTTAAATAATAAAATCACAAATGTATTATTTTCTTTTTTGAGAACTTCAGTATTTGGTTCTACTTTGCATAGAATGATCCTGAACTTGAGTAAGCTGAAACATAAATTAAGAAATAAATTAATATTTTAGAAACTATATTTACTAAAAATATTTAAAGGTTAAAATTTTAAACCTTTTTAATAATGCATTTACTTCTTCAAAAGGAATATTATAAAAAAAGTCTAGATATATCAAACGCCAAATTTGCTAATCGAAGAAACCCAATTAGTTCCGGTTATCAGCCCTTATGAAAATATGTCTGATTCGGTTTCTCTGCGGATTGCGGTTCAAAAATGTCATCTATAAACAAAGTAGATTAGAGAAGGCTGCTGTGCGAAATTTTTGAACAAAAATGGTTTAAACAATGTTTTTAAACAAATTCCAAAACTCACTTTTTGTTACGAAAAATATTTTTTTCGGTGTTTTGAGTCATTCTAAACAAATAGTCTGCCTTTTTATTCTTCTCTAAAGTTGATATTTTTCGAGTAATAAGCGACATAAAATATGAAAAATGCAAAAATACACATTTTCAATGTTTGAAACCTCATATAATTATGTAAAATATTATTGTTGAGGTTGCCAAGTGCCTATATTGAAGTTTAAACATTGAATTTCAAGATTCTGAAGAGTAATCGAGGTCCATTTACCACTAATATTTGAATTTTTTTCTGATGTTGATTTTTGTTTATAATTACAGTTGTATTGCATAGCATAGCATAGCATAATGCCAGTTACTATCAGCTGGTAATATTATTGTGGACTCATCTTCTTTCAGAGCTTTGATAGCTTTGAGTTCCTCTTTACTATTTTTTTATTTTGATTTTGTGTTTTTGTCCAGTTCCTTTTTGAACCCTATATATTATCCCTTTTCGTGTATTGATAGTATTTGACACACTTTACTTACATACATACTTGACTAACTAATGGGCGTACTTCAGCATAACGTTTAGACCTTTTGGTCTAAACGTTAACTTTTGGTCTTGGTTAACCATTAACTTCAAGCATCAGCGAGAAGCGCTACTAACTGACGACAATGGCAAGTGCGATATGCGAATATTATATATATATATATATATATATATATATATATATATATACATACATATATATATATATATACATATATATTTATATATATATATATATATATATATATATATATATATATATATATATATAATTACCCTTTTTTTCTTCCTCCTTGCCTCATCTCCTGCTTTCCAATATCTACTTTCAGCACTTTTTAATGTAATCTTTGACATTAGTATGTTTCTTATGCTTTTTTCTTTCCACTCAGTCGTCATCTTCAATTTTATAGTAATTTAAGATTTTAATTAATGATTGTACTAACCTGAAGAATGCGCTGATGCTGAACTACCAGAATACGAATTTGAACCGCTGAATGACCCAGACCCAGAATGACCTCCTTTAATTGACTGATTAATTAGCTCTTTCAGAAGAGGAAAACCATTTTCAAAACCTGCACCACTTCCAGATGAGGAGTAGGAACCAGCACTAGGCCCTCCTTTTACACCTCCACCATAAGATCCGCTTCCAGAGCCGCTGAATGAGGAACTGCTTGAGAAAGAACCACTATATGAGCCACTTCCAGAAGATTGGAAGCCACAGGATCCTGTTTTGCAACCACCTTTTACTATAAAAAAAATAAAATAGTATATGATTTAGTCTAGTGAATAGTTATGGTCCTAAAGCTTTTTTATTTTGTTATTATATATCTGTTATTTTTCTGTTTTTAATAGGATTTACCATTCACAATTCTAATTGAAAATAAATTTGTTTTGACGTTTAAAAATCAGTCTCAAACTTTCTTCAAAAGCAAAACGTCAAAATAAACTTATTTTTAACTAAAATTGTGATTAATTCCAAACAAAGTTGGTAGATAACTATTACAATATTAGACTGAAACGCAACCACTGGTACTATCAAACTAGTCTCTAACATTCGAAGTCTTTTATACATGCACCTTTAAAGACGAGATCCAAAGATCTATTAGATATGAATAGGAATGATATGCGAGTTATTGTAGATTTCCTAACAGGACACTGTCACCTCAAAAGACACATGAACAAAATCGAATTGACAGAAAGTGCGAATTGCAGATTCTGGCAGGATGATGACAAGACGGCGGAACACATTGTGTGCAACTGTCCAAGACTCAATACATCTGATCATTATTAACTCGAGCCTTACGACTTCCATAGAAGTATTACCTAAGGTCATAATATACTTTGTTAAAACAGCTGGGCTTTAGGAAAAACTTTAACTTAGGAATGAGTTACAATAGACCTCTTAGGTCGAGTGAAAGGGTGATTGATTTGTTATTTTTTGAAACATCATTTTTAAAATAATAAGGGGCTATAAAGAGGTAACTTTGGATACCATTTTTAAACATTTAATAATATTAATGCTTAATCTTATAGGAACCTGATTAGGCAGCAAGCTATTTTTATTTAGAATAAGTAGAAAAATCAGGATAGCAATATTTTCTTATAATAAAGTAATAATAAAGTGCATTAGGGTATTTGGTATTTCTGTCTGACATTTAGTAAATAGAACATTAACTGATTTTGCTCATGCAAGCATAAGCTGATTTCACGAGATCTGTTTTTTTGACCAGAGTTGCAGTGTCATCTACAAATGATATGATTGTGGATTCTGTGGACACTGCCTTGGGGTACGCTATATTAATGTTGTGGATGTTGGGCACACTTTTTTCATATCTTGCATAAAATAGTATTTTTTCAAAGTATGATTTTAGTATCCTGTATAACGACTAAGATATTGCTATCTTCAGTTTGAATAGTAAGTAAGTATTCATAGATGACATCATCTTCATTTGCCCTATTTGTTAGCAGCTGAAATAACTTCCCTAAGGTGTTTTGCGAAAGCGTCTAATTACTATCTGGGTTAGGATTCAAATTTTCTAGGTAATGTTGGAAATTGGCGTTGCTATGTTGTTTTAGTAGTTCTTTTATTTCTCTAAACATTCTGTTCAATTTGGTTTTGTCTTGAGTAAAACCAGTTTAATGCTATTTTTTACGAAGTTTTCGTTTTTCTAATATTTTTTCTTATTACTGTTGGACAACCACTATTCAACCGTTTTCGTTCAAAGGTATGTTTTAGCATGCAGCTTCATGTATTTGTTTTGTTAATGCTTTTATTGCTATTACTATTTTTTGTGTTTTTGAGTGGATTTTTAGGTCTATTTTTTTTGTACGATTTGTACGTCTTGAAGGTAAACATTTTTCTGATGGATTTGTCATTATTGCTGCAATAATTGGTGAATGATCTAACGATAGGTCTTCCTAAGATTCTATGTGCCGCTTTTTGGTAAAAGTCAATTAAATCTCGCAGTCTATTTCGATCAGTTAGCCAGTAAGTTATTTGTAGGTTAAACGATATTTTAGTTGCATTCTTTTCACCACATCGTATAGAACTCTACCTCTTCCCGGGGAATAATCTTGAGCCCCAGCTCTCGTGTTTTGAATTGTAGTCGCCATCTACTAAGAACCGGGGTCCTAATTATCTAAAAAGTGTTTTAAATCATAGTGAGCCAAAATTGTCTTGTATGCAAATTAAAGCTACCTGTAGGAAGTCTTTTTCGATTTCCGATAGTGTGTGATATCTTAGATTATTCCTAATTATTATTGGTACCCCGCCTCTGGGTTTGTCTATGCATCCTTAAGTGCTGCGTTGTAGACCTTATACAAGGTGATTTTAAATTGTGAACTGGCGAATAAGTGCCTCTCATATAATATTATAATGTCTACTTTATTAGTGGCTAAGAATACTTTGATTTCTTGTCTTCGTTTTAGTCCATTTGCGTTCCATTTAGCAATTCTTATTAGTTGTAAAGACACCAGTTATTTTAAGTTAGGAGGTCTCTTTGATTAGTGGTTGATTGTTAGTTTTTTATTACTTTCTGTAAACTCGAGATGATTGTGATAAAGTGAAATTAACTGTATTGTTGATTGTGGTTTGTTGTTGGTTGTGGCCTAGTTATAGGTTGCTAGTTTTGAACTACTTCTGTATATGTGCTCTCAGTTGTTGATTGCGTGTTTTTATTGAGGTTGGTGTTACTGATTGGGGCGGAAATTTAAAAGATATTGTTTGTAATAATATATAAATATTAAATAGAAAATATACAATTAAGCTAACTTATAAAATTTTAATATAATTTCAACGATATTCATTTGATTGTACCATTTGTACCTAGAGTGCCACTTGAAGAACAGAATCTTCCTAGAAGTAAGAATATTACAACACTAGTTTTCACTATTAATAAGAAATTTATGTTGAATGCACACACCGCATATTTCATTCTTAAAACAACGAGAACGTTATTATTAATTTTTTTTAATTAAAAATCCTTTGTAAAAGGTATATTTTAGGACGTTTTCGGAAACCATGTTCCATCATCAGTGTCCTAGAAAATAGTTAACCACTTAATTAAAAAGAACATAGGTTAAAATTTTGACTAAGGTTAAAGAACAATGTGGTTAATACTTACTAGGGGTACATGAATGAAGCCACCAAGATTAAATATGTGGGTAAAAACCCGATTACATATGTTTAATTACATTTAGTTTTAAATTAATGTTGATATAATATAAGATTACAAAGTTACCGATGGATTTGGTAACATGGCGACATATGACTCCACGTTGAAGTTGCTAGTCCTGAGACGGTATGTCTTCGAGGACTATATGAGTGCAACTGATTGGCAATGACATTTGATGACAATATAATTAAATTATGACGGAAATAATCACAGAGCAGTCAATGTAGCTGTATGTTTCTACTTAAGACAAAAGCCAATATTATTTAAAATTGTGAGAATTAAGTACATTAATATAACAGTATCAACCATCAAAGTTGTAGTTTTAATTTATGAAATTGAGATGATATAAGGGGGCAAAATTTTTATGGTTGTAGTTAGGCAACCAACTATGCATGTATGTAGTAATGAAATATAGAAATATTTTTAATTATATGGCCCTTTATGTTACTTAAACATTTGGTACCCAGAAAATATAAACTAGACACATGTTGAAGGTTGAATTATAGAAAATATTGATGTTAATGGTTGGATCTAAATATATTTATTTATAATTGGAGGTGTTCTTGTTTGAATAAAATAAAACTGTTTTAGTGAATGTTCACATGTTATTTAACTTTCAACTCAAATATAGAGGTCCTGTATGTCATAAGCAACATTTGGTACCTAGCAAATGTGAAAATTTATTTTGAGTAATAAGTTCATGAACATAAATGTCTGATAAGGTAGTAACAGACTAAAAGGTGTGGAAGTTTTATTGTATTAACTATTGTATGTAATGAACGAAAGATTTTATTTTGATGGTTGGAACATGATTATGTAGTATGTTGAAAGTGTGGTAATCTGCTTATAACTTAAGAAAGGTCCTATCTGTCATAAGGCAACACTAGGCACAAGAGAAATAAAAAGAATAAGTTATAAGTTAGGTTTGTTGAAGGTATAAGTTGTCTCAAAGTGTGATGATGGTATGGTTGGCTTTGTTGATATTAAGTGAAACTAAAAAGTTTTTGCAGTGTCATCTTTGCAGAAGAATAAGTTGTGTGATTGGATATTATTCAAAATGGATATGAGGATCTTAAGGTGTTCGTTTAAATAATGTGTGAAATTAACAAAATTTGAAGGTTGAGATGTGATTATGTATTATGTTTTTCATACAGAACTCGAATTATAACTTAAAAAGGCCCTATCTGTTATAAGACAACACTAGGTACATGAAAAAATTTTAATGAATAAGTTATAAGTTGAATCTGTCTGCGTTGTGTACTGGACTTAACTTGAAAGATTAATAGATAGCTATGTTTAAATTGAATAAGAAAGAAATTTATGGTTGTTTTGAATGGATGGTGGGATACTGGACCACTGCAGAAAGCTGAGATCACCAGAGGTCCGCTACCAAACCCTACGGAAGATGTGAGAAAATGGAAGAAGGGGACTGAAATGTTTGTCAGAAAGGGTTGCTGAATAGTTTGAGCCCCCCCAAAAATCTCAAACTATTCAGCAACCCTTTCTGACAAACATTTCAGTCCCCTTCTTCCATTTTCTCACATCTTCCGTAGGGTTTGGTAGCGGACCTCTGGTGATCTCAGCTTTCTGCAGTGGTCCAGTATCCCACCATCCATTCAAAACAACCATAAATTTCTTTCTTATTCAATTTAAACATAGCTATCTATTAATCTTTCAAGTTAAGTCCAGTACACAACGCAGACAGATTCAACTTATAACTTATTCATTAAAATTTTTTCATGTACCTAGTGTTGTCTTATAACAGATAGGGCCTTTTTAAGTTATAATTCGAGTTCTGTATGAAAAACATAATACATAATCACATCTCAACCTTCAAATTTTGTTAATTTCACACATTATTTAAACGAACACCTTAAGATCCTCATATCCATTTTGAATAATATCCAATCACACAACTTATTCTTCTGCAAAGATGACACTGCAAAAACTTTTTAGTTTCACTTAATATCAACAAAGCCAACCATACCATCATCACACTTTGAGACAACTTATACCTTCAACAAACCTAACTTATAACTTATTCTTTTTATTTCTCTTGTGCCTAGTGTTGCCTTATGACAGATAGGACCTTTCTTAAGTTATAAGCAGATTACCACACTTTCAACATACTACATAATCATGTTCCAACCATCAAAATAAAATCTTTCGTTCATTACATACAATAGTTAATACAATAAAACTTCCACACCTTTTAGTCTGTTACTACCTTATCAGACATTTATGTTCATGAACTTATTACTCAAAATAAATTTTCACATTTGCTAGGTACCAAATGTTGCTTATGACATACAGGACCTCTATATTTGAGTTGAAAGTTAAATAACATGTGAACATTCACTAAAACAGTTTTATTTTATTCAAACAAGAACACCTCCAATTATAAATAAATATATTTAGATCCAACCATTAACATCAATATTTTCTATAATTCAACCTTCAACATGTGTCTAGTTTATATTTTCTGGGTACCAAATGTTTAAGTAACATAAAGGGCCATATAATTAAAAATATTTCTATATTTCATTACTACATACATGCATAGTTGGTTGCCTAACTACAACCATAAAAATTTTGCCCCCTTATATCATCTCAATTTCATAAATTAAAACTACAACTTTGATGGTTGATACTGTTATATTAATGTACTTAATTCTCACAATTTTAAATAATATTGGCTTTTGTCTTAAGTAGAAACATACAGCTACATTGACTGCTCTGTGATTATTTCCGTCATAATTTAATTATATTGTCATCAAATGTCATTGCCAATCAGTTGCACTCATATAGTCCTCGAAGACATACCGTCTCAGGACTAGCAACTTCAACGTGGAGTCATATGTCGCCATGTTACCAAATCCATCGGTAACTTTGTAATCTTATATTATATCAACATTAATTTAAAACTAAATGTAATTAAACATATGTAATCGGGTTTTTACCCACATATTTAATCTTGGTGGCTTCATTCATGTACCCCTAGTAAGTATTAACCACATTGTTCTTTAACCTTAGTCAAAATTTTAACCTATGTTCTTTTTAATTAAGTGGTTAACTATTTTCTAGGACACTGATGATGGAACATGGTTTCCGAAAACGTTCCTAAAATATACCTTTTACAAAGGATTTTTAATTAAATTTTTAATACATGGTATACAGCCAACTACAGGAACGTAGATTCCTTGTGAACGTTATTATTGACTGGCGTAGGCTTTGTAGCAAAACACGAGGGCCAAAACCTATAATGACCTGCTGATTGTATGTAAAGGTTGTCAGACATAATAATTAAAATTAAAATTATTAAAAGTTTAATAAATACAAAACAAAATTGAGAGCTTTTACTAGGCTTTCGTTATAAGGAAGTGTAAGTTTAGGTAATACAAAATAAACACCACAAAACGAAAGTTGACCGTATTAGCCCAACATAAATAAATTCTTAATACTAACCTCCTCCAAAGCTACCAGATCCAGAGTAGCTTCCAGACTGACCCCCAATTAAACCTTGTCCACAATTTCCCGTACTGCAGCCACCACCCTGTACGTTCCCCTGTACGAGTCCATTAGAAGAACTGGAATAACTTCCTTGAGATCCGCTGTTAGTACCACATTTTCCACTGGAACAGCCGGAACCAGGAACGTTTCTTTCAGGATAATCAGGATATACGTTTCCCTGATTGCTTCCTTGGAAATTGATACCGGATGAACCTGTGTAACTACCGGAGTTTATTGTTCCAGCTTGTACAGGTTTTAAGCCATCGCACCCTGCACCAGAACAAGAATATCCAGGTTTATTGATGCTTGGAGGTTGAACGTCAACTACAGGTACTAAAACACCGTCTGGTTTTTCTACAATAACATTTCCGGAAACAAAACCTGAAATAAATATAGCATCTACATTTCTGATGTTCTAGTTCATATAGTAAGAGTAATTCAAACACTGATAACATTATAGAAACTGATTAAATGCTTTAATAGAAACAAAATTGTCGCTAAATCATAGAAGTATAGCAGTAATACCAAAAGCGAGCGAGAAAAATCGTTTAGAAAAGACTACAGGGAAATAGAGAAAAAAATTTGTTAAAAAAAAAAAGATAAAAAAAGAAAGATTGGTCGCTAAAAATTTTCTATAACATTCATGTATTTAGAATTTTTATAAAAATATTTTAAAATGGTTGTTTATACTTATACAAATTTAATTTACTATAAACTAACATTTATAACCAGGCTAGTCAGAAAAATTTGAAGAATAGAAGGAAACCATTTTTTAGATATTTATGAATAATTAGAGAAACTTATAAAACAATTTAGGATGGAAAAAATTGTTTACCAATTGAGGTGACAAGTAAAAATGTTTTGTTTTTCTGTTTGGTCTAAAATCTGGTCAACTTATAGAATCATTTTAATTAGTAGTTTCGAATATCTGCAATATTAAAAGTTGAAAATTGAAAATCTATACGAAAAAATACTATATTGTGTAGATGATGTCTGGATAACAAATAATGGAGACTATCTTCCAATTTTCTTCCAAATTTTAAGTCTAAATACGGTAATAGCTACTAAAAAAAACAAATTTATGATCACTTCTAAAGAATCGATATGATTTATATTGAAATGTGTGGGTTAATTAATAAAATAACCGATAAATTTAAATTATCTTGGGTATAAACAACCAGCTCACGCATAACAAAAATAAACTAAGACACCAAACTAATAAAGTAGCAGGTTACTTAATCTTATTCAAAAAGCATCAGCGAGAAGCGCTACTATCTGATTTGACAATGGCAAGTACGACCTTGCCGAAACAAACGGTGTTAAACTACTACAAAACTATAAAATTAATATACAAGCAAAAGCTAAGATAAAAATTTATGAAAATACTCCAGAGTTTTTCACTACCAAAGACGTCCGACAAGGAGACGCAATATCACCAAAGTCCTTCACTTTCTACCCATTGATAGAAAATACCTCAGCCATCTTATATTTTCAGATGTCATTGTTCTAATTCCTAATAATCCTGAAGAAATACAAGAACTTATAAGCAACCTAAATGCAGCTAGCAAGGAAGTTGGCGTAGAAATAACTTGTCAAAAACAAAAACAATGTACAACGAGCAGGTGAATGTCCAAAATGGTACAATAAACCACACTTCACTTGAGACAGTAGACAAGTAAGTATACCTGAGACAATTAATACATAAATCTGACTAGTTACTCCCAGAAATCAACAGCAGAATGAAACTCTCTTGGGTGTGAAAATCACCTGAAGAAAAAAGGATTTGATCAGTGTATATTACCAATTATAACATACCGACTGTGAAACTTGGACACTAAAGAAAAAGATAATAGCGAAACTCAAAGTTTCTCAAAAGTCTATGAAGCGATGCATGCTAGGTATAAGAAAGAGAAATCGAACAAGAATAGAATGGATAAGACAACAAACCAAGGTCACTAATATAATCCACATAATTAAATCTTTAAAACGGCAGTAGATGGAACCTTTAGCAAGAAGAACTGACAATACATGGTACACTAAAATTACACTGCGGTGTGCAAGAGCCGTCAAGAAACCAAGAATACGTCCAAATTTAAGATTGGACTATGATATAATAGGTCTAACTGGTAAGCAAGTTTTGTATGTTTTCAATAAAATTGATAGTGTGTAAAATAATTTATTAATTAAGCTGAGTATACTTTCGACATAATAAATGTCATCATCAGAGCTATCGTCAATTAGGCAATAAATACTTCATAGAAGAAAAATTGTGGACAAACAACATATTAAAAAACAAAGATCGGGCTCTCTAGGCCACAGATCTTGGGTCTAACCCTTATGCATATGTATAATTCACATCAAATACTTAAAATAGAAAACATGGTTACCACATACAGCGACGACAACAGCTGTTTTTGACTTACACTTAACTTACTTACTTATATTTAACTTACTTATATACATAATATGTATAATTATATATCATTTTTACTATAATTCCCTAATATTTAGTAAACTTACCATTCTGTGAACCAGCTTCAGCATTAGCTTGACTTCCAGCATTAAAATTTGTCTGTGAGCCTCCTTGTGGTTGATCTTTTACTATCACTGGTGTTACTATTGGTGGTAATTCTTGGTTATAATAAGGAACATAAAGTCTATCTTTGCCTCCAGCACCCTTATATGCATCAGGTATTTGAGGTTGGTTACTGAAGACACAGGCTCCTCCTATACAGATTGGGTTGTTATTTGGTTCGAGGTTGCTACAATCTTTTCCATTACAACTTGGTTGAGGTTGAGAATATTGCGGAGAATATGATTTAGGAACATCACAAGGTTTGTTACCGCAATTAGGTTTATTATTGGGTTGGTAGGGTTGTTTAGTATAAGCTACTGTAGTAGGATATTGCACAGTTGGACTTGGAGTCACTTGTCCAGGATGCTTTGGTAACGGGCATGACGAACCTGTGCAGCTATAGTAGCCGTTGTTGGTAGCTGGTCCATTTGGTTTATTAATATGTGGATGGTAGTGTTGGGGTGGCTTATTTCCAGGTAGTAGAAAGTCCATGCTAGATCCTGGTTTGTTATCTTGCACTGGTAAAATTGAAGGGACAGGTTCTTTAAGTTTATTCTCTTTCTGATCTTCTGTGTTGGCAGGAATTTCTACTTCAATTGGAAGATCGATATGAGTAGGCTTATTGAGGTCCAAATTTATGTTTTCTTGATTTTTGGTACTTTGTGCATTAGCGTTACTTTCTGAACCGGAATATATGTTGCGATTTTCTTGGTTTGGATTTTCATTACTTACAGGTTTATCCCTATTTTGACATTTTCCATTCTGGCAATTTGGCATTTCTTGTTTATCTGGAATAAGACTAATACAGTAGGCTCCAGAACACCCAGAAGTTGGTGTATTGGCTGGAATATGTTTATTTCCAGATACAGGAGAAAGAATGCATTGTAATCCAGAGCAAAGTGTTCCTGCATACTCTGGGGCACGTTGATTTATATCAAAATTAATTCTTCCTGGAGTAGGATATACTTCGGGACCTTGTTCAGGAGGGTTAAAATTGACAGGTTTATTGTCAGATATTATTCCCACGGTTATAAGTCCAGGTTGAGGTAGTTGAACACTAACACCTGGAGGTACAATTTTCTGACATATTCCATTAACACAGTTAATATTATTATTTTCTTGTTTTTCTCCACAATTTCCATTAGTGCACTTTGTTCCTTCGTAGGTAGGCGTTAGAGGTTTTCCAAATTCTATATTAAAGTTTCCACTTTCACGATTTGCATTACTGTTTGCGTTTGCTCCTGAAATCGACCCGGAGTGAATGTAAGATGGTTTTTTACCAGGTCCGAAACAGTCATTACCATGGCATCCTAATCTTCCTCCATATTCGTCACATGTCCCTGTTCCGCAATCGGGAGTAACAGAATGTTTATTGAATGTATCTGTAACAGGTATAAGAGGAAGTTGTACATATCCAGGCCCTTTTTGTGGTTCCTGTTTACCGTATATACATTGACTTCCCACGCAATTAGATCCAGCGACAGGTTTGCTTTCATGTATACTTCCTGGTTTTCCAGGAAATTGACTTATTATGTCAGTAAATGGTAGAGGATTTTTATTGGTTGAGCCTGAGATAGGTTGAACAGAAACTTGAACAAATCCAGCTCCATTTTGATGATGAGAACCTTGATTTGCTGAAACGCTGGTAAAGATGCTACCGCCAGGACCAGGTAATTTCCCAATAACCGCTAATGCCCCGTTTCCAGGTATTACTTTGTCCTTTACTTTTTGATGAGGTTGGGTGCTTATTGTTGGCACTGGAACTATCGCCACAGGAATATTACTGCTAGGAATATGTGGTTTAATGTCAGCAGCTGGTTTACTATTATATATGCTGCCGGGTTCACCTGGGAAAGAGTTAATTAAATCTAAAGAAATTCCATTTGATCCTGCGTTAACTTGGTTAGTCGCACCAGTATGAACGTAATTCGGTTGAACAGAAATTGGATTTTGCTCAGGAGCCCAAGCTGGAGGACCGCCACCGCCAGGTGGAGCAGGTTTAAAATCGTGTATACTTCCTTTGGGTCCAGGAAAGTGTCCTTGGTAAGGTTTTTTAGATTGAACTATTGTTCCCTGGTCATGTCCTGCATTGGAACCGGCGTTTAGGTTGATTACTGAGCCACCTTTGCTTAAATCAAATGTAGCGGCACCAGGACCTTCATTAGGAGTATATTCATCAGGAACTCTAAAGTCGTTAATGAAGTATGTCCCTTGAGGTTTAGATTCTAAAACATACAAAAAGTTTAGTTAAAATGGTGTTAGTTTAATATGTGAAAAAAGCAATTTCTTAAATTAATTCATAAACCTTGACTGCAATCAAAGAAGAATTATTTTGATAAGAAGTTTGAAAGAAAATATTACCTGTATAGTAAAAGAATAGCTTATATGAAACTAATAATAATAAAGCTTAATATTCATAATAAAGCCTTTTGTATAGTTTTATTTTAATTTTTGTATATTTTTTACTATGGGTAACTTGTTTTTTATTTTCTCGGTAACTTTTATAGGTATTTAAAAGTTTTACTTTTTATATTAAAAAATCACCTTTTACTGTCTTTTTCTAAAATTTGGTGATTGATTCATTCAGTATCTGTATCAAATACAATATTTCTTTAAATACTATTACTTAATTTTAACAATTTATTTAAATATTTTTGATGTGTTTCTGAGTCGGTTCTGAATTTTTTTAAGTTGACTCAAGAAATGGCAGAAAATTACTAATATACTTAGTTTTCTTTAATATATATTGGTATTCGCAGATTTTCATTATCAAGGTCTATGATAGAAAATGACATTAATTAATTATTTCGATGTCATGCAAATGATGTTGCAAATGCTGTTGTATGTATCTTATAATTTGTATTGAATTTTATTAGAATAGCCTCACTGTTGACCATCCTTATCCATATTAGATTAACAAAATGTACTTTAATGTATAAAAAAATTGCCTTTTTATACTTTTGGCATAATTAACAACAAGTACTACACACAACCGAACTTATATGGAATCACCATGTATTTCAAACTAATATTTATTTCTTTTGAAAAAACTTGTTATTGTTGCAAAAGGTTTTTATTAGAAATAAACAAACCAATAAAACAATCAGATAACACTGTCCGGCACGGTATAGATTATTGATTTTAGTTGTGAATTCAAGGAAAATAAATAAACTAACTTTCGTTTTCAAAAAAGAAAATATGCCTGATGTGGGGCTAACAGATGTGCAAGGGAGAAATATTATTGGTCTTGTGGAGCAAAGAATGTCTCAGAGGGACATAGCTACAGTGGTAGGAGTAACACAGAGCGTTGTGTCGAAAAGCAAGTCTAGGTATCAAGATTTAAGAGTGCTTAAGAACTCTTAACTCTTGATACCTAGACCAAGATAAAGTCGCGAAAAAGTAAAAACGGCTTGTCAGAATCGTTTTATTGTTCAAGTAGCTAGAAAAGACCCAACAATTTCTCACCCGCAACTCCAAAAGTAACTTTTGGAAGGTACAGATGTAAGTGTTTAAGTTGAAACGATAAGAAGACTTCGTGCTCAAGGACTATACAGCAGTAGACAGTTACGGATTCCTGAGTTAACCAGGCAGCACAAATTGAACGCCTAAATTGGTGTCCTTAATACCAAAACTGAAAAATTCGAGATTGGCAAACTGCGCTATTTTCAGACGAAACCAGAATTTGTGTAAAATCATATGACCGATGGATTCGTGTACTCAGAGGGCAAGCAAGACAAGCACCAACGAAAACAGCCAGATCTTTTCACAGACCTAAAGGAGGAAGTGTTATGTTCTGGAGAAGTAATATGGTCGGTGAAAACACTTTTTTAATTTCCATTTAACCAACCAACAAACTTTAATAGCTCGATTTAATTTTCATTCAACGAACTTTAATAGCTCACAGGTATATTGATTTGGTTCTAGAACCTTTGGTAAGACCAAGTTAGACTCTAGAAAAAGTGCAGTGGAAAAAATTTAATTTTTATGTATGATAATGCACCTCCACATATCAGCAGAGTCATTACAGACTTCCTTGGAGCAGAAGATATCGCTATTCTGTAGTGACCTGCTTGCTCACCCGACCTTAACCTCATATATCATTTGTGGGATATGCTTAGAAAAGCATTAGGTTTAGGAGCATGCTCACGCGAATTGGAACTTTCATAAGTCCTAGGGTTAGTAATACTGACTAGTAAGAAAAACATAAATATTAAAAACAGAATTCCCTGTATATTGAAATTTTGTATGCTATTGACAATCGTATGCTTTAAAATAAATAATTTTAATTTTATTACTAAAGAATTTATGAGTTTCTTTAATTTTTATGTATTCTTGAATCAATTGCTTTAAAATAAATATTCTTTGACTTCGAAGGTTCTTTTTTTTAAATTTCATAATTTTTATTTATTTTTTATAATTATCTATTTATTTTAAAGAAATAACATACCTTCAGGACCAGAATGCTTATTTTGTGGAACAGTAACAATAACTGGTATTGAACCAGGAACTTGAGTTTGAATTGATCCAGAATTTGAGGCGGACCCTTTTCCATTAAGATTTAAATCTAGATCAGCTGGTTTAATTGCACCTGAATTAGAACCACATCCCGTAGTGCATCCCTGTGATGACCCCGAATATGATCCAGAACTAGAGAAGGATCCAGATGAAGATAATCCAGCCTGGCCACCGGAGCTTAAGTGAACTGCATTTCCAGCTTGAGCTCCGGAAGTTGCGAAAGATCCCGAATAAGCGCCTGCTCCAGCATTAGCAGAAGCTCCATTTGCATCGGCATGTGCAGCAGCGGAGGAAAATGCAGCGTTTCCATTTTTAAGTACATCATTAAGAATATTTGGATCTACATGTCCTCCTGAGGAGTACGAGCTACTGAATGCTAAAATAAGAAAAGTTGCGTAAGTAAAATAATAATAAAACATTGTTTCGGTTAACTTAAAATAATTTAACGTTAACGTTACGTTAATCTTTTGACCCAAAGCAATCATTTACTCATTTTTTTAAGGAAAACAATTCAAATATTGATTATATTCCAAAGTCCGTATCAGACGGTCAAATATTTGATCAAACTAGTTTTACCAAAACAAAAATTGACAGTATATGACTATATGCTGTCATTATTATATCTGAATTTGATCCAATCATCTAAAAATAGAGGATCTTTTATTTTTCAGGCCAGTTTGATAAAACTTTTATTTTGATTAGTCGAAAAATATATAAAGGCAATCAGCAGTTAGATATAAGGTGAGGAAATTCATTTCCCATTTTTTCTTTGGGTGTGGTTTATTTGACTTCTTATTTTGTTATAAAATAAAAAAAGTTTTGTTAAAAAATAAATCTTTTAGCAAAAAGCTGCTATCGCTTTGTTGTATTAAATTGCCAATTCGTTCTACTTTCCGAGTTTGAATTTGTATCAGCCCAAGTGTCTGATGAGGCTGGGATAGGCCGAAATGAGTCATAACACTTTATTCATACCGATTCGAACACGGGAAGTTTAACGAATTTGTCCTAGGCCATATATTTAGCCATGTAATACAACAATGCGATAGTAGCTTTTTGCTAAAAGATTTATTCTTTTACACATTTCGCATAGCCCATAGGTAGAAAACGATGTGATTATATCGTTTTCGTTCACGGCCGCCAAAGCAGGTGGCGCCTCTGCTCGCAAACCACTGCGGTGGTGAAGCTTTAGGAGATATTCGTTCTACTTTCCGAGATTGAATTTGTATCAGCCCAACTGTCTGATGAGGCCGGGAGAGGCCGAAATGAGTCATAACGCTTTATTGATACCGATTCGATACCGAAATATTTTCCAAACATTTGCTGAATATTGAAAATGGTAAAATAAAGCTGCATCCAAATACACAATGTATCAAACTTCTAGATAATTTCTGCATTTTTGTTGAGACTAAACATGAATAAGTGTCTTTCCGGCTGTACTGAATAATTACTGAAATAATAATTGGCTCATTGAGCGCGCAATTTTGGCGGCGAAAATGTTGATGTTAACGTAATTAACTTCCAGTTTCAACAGTTGTTACCAGGTGATCTGATATCTTTTAAATCAGTCGAAAGTTTTGTTAACGAAGAAGAAGCCGTAAGTTGTTCAAAGGAATTTTTACATTTTCTGGATATACCGGGAATATCATCATGGATTTCATATTTACTAACTCTGTTAAATAAATTGAAAATAATAATTATTCGTCTAATAATCAAGCCAGATGCTGGGTCGGCTAGTTATTATAAAAATCCTTTCTTTTTCTTCTTCTTCTTCTTCGTGCGACTTTGATTAATCCTGTTTGTCTGCCTCTTATTCTGTTTGAGTCGTTGTTGACTGTACATTATCTTTCCAGCTTTTTGGCGGCCTTCCAACGGGTCTTCTGCTATACGGTTTGTTTTTCTGGTTTTTATCTACCTGTTAATATTTTGAATTTTGCATTGTTCGCGTATACTTCTGTTGGTTTGTCTGTCTCTTAATTATATGCCCGCTATTGATCTTAATACTTTCATTTCGATATTGTTGATTTGTTGTTTCGTCTTTCTTGTATCAGTCCTTGTCTCCGCTGCATATGTTAGGATTGTTATTACTGTTTTCTTATATACTTTCATTTTGCTTTCCGTGGTCAGATATTTGTTTCTCCATATGGTTTATCGGAGGCAACCACTTACTTTTGCCGCTTTTGATGCTTGCCATGTTGTCTCTGTTCTTATATACCTGTCACTAGTGATCTCTACTTCTAGGTAATTGAATTTCATTACTTTTTCTACAATTTTGCCATCTATTTCTAGTTTGCATCTAAGCGGCTCTTTACTGATTACTATACATTTAGTTTGTTCTACTGATATTCTCATATTAAGTTTATTTGCTGTGATATTGAAGGTATGAAGCTCTGTAGGTCATCTTCGTTATCAGCAATTAGTACTGCATCACCGGCATAGCATAGTATTGTGTTTGTATGCGCTCCCATGTGGTATCCGTGTCGTTTTCTTACTTTGTGAATTATTTGATTCATCACCATTTTGAATAACAATGGGTTGAGCTAGTCTCCCTGGCGGATTCCTTCTTTTAGTTCTATGCATTATGTTTCTCCTGTTGGCATTATAACTGTGGTCTTGTTGTTATTGTTAATTTCATTAATTGTCCTTATTATCTGATGGTCTATTTGTTTAGCTTGTAATAAATTTTAGACGTCATTTCGCTTTACCCTGTCAAAAGCACTTTTTAAATCTACAAAGCACATGTATGCTGGTTTTCCATATTCAATAGACTTCTCGATGATTTGTCTGATAATAAAAATTGCGTCTATTATGCTGCGGTTCTTCCTGACGCCTTGTTGTTCATCTGCCATGTTCGCTTTTTCTTCGATTTGTTATATTGTTGTTGCAGTTTTACTTGTTAAGTATCGGTAGCAGGAGACTTTCCTTCCATTCCGCTGGTACTACTCCGGTAATTATTATATCGACGAATAATTATAGGAGCTATTTGCGTAGTGTTGTTTCTTCATATTTTAGCAGTTCATTGTTTATCTTGCCAGGACCAAGTGCTTTTCTGATTTTTAATTATTTTTTTATTCGTTCTTGTAGCTTTTCTTCTGATATTAGTACTCTATCGTGGGTTTCGTTAATAATTATTGCTCTGTTATCTTCCTTTCCTTCTCCATATAATTTCATGAAATTCTCAGTCCATTGTTCCTCCGTAATGTTATTTATGCGTACAACAGTGTTCTTTTTTAATGTTATCTATTTCTTGGTTTATTCTATTCCTGATTCTCACGTAGTCTTCTTGCGCCGCTGGAGTCTTCACTCCTTTGTATGTTAGAAAACCTTATTTCTTTTTATTTGCTAGTGCTTTTAACCTTTCGTCGTACCATGGAGTTTTGTATTCCCGTTTATTTCTGTTAACTTTTCTGTCACCTAAAGCTTCTTCCCTTGCTTGTAGGATACATTTTTTAAATCATTTTCCAGGTTTCTTCTATATTCTTTTGAGTCTCTAGGTTATGGCTATTTAGCTTTTCTGTTAGTCTGTTTCTATACAAGATTTATGTACCTTCTTCTTCTTAGCTTTCTATGTTTAACTTTTCTTCTACTTTTGTATTTCGCTTGCCTTGTGTGGTGATTGTTATATTTATTTTTCCTAGTACCAGGCCATGGTCGGATCCTACATTGCGGAAGGTAGAGTGCACACATCTATTATATTCGTGGGGTGTATTTGTCTGTTTGTTATAATGTAGTCAATCATAGAGTTACGTCCTCTTGTATCTGACCAGGTGATCTTATGTTGTATTGGGTGATCAAAGTGTTGTTAATTCGGAGGTTATTCACTAAACAAAGTTCTAGAAGTCTTTCTCCGTTGTCGTTGAGTGTTTCTTTGTAACTGTGTAACTCCAGCCACAGGTATGTTGCCTTCTCTGGCGTTTAGGTCGCCGAGAATTATTGTTTTACTACCGGTATTGTGGTGTCCAGTAGATCTTGGAGCTGTCCATAAAAAGCATCTTTGTCTTCCTTGTTTTTGTTGTTATCCGGTGCATATACGGGGATAATATTAAGTATCGTCTGGTGAAGTTTAAGGCAAAGCAGCATCATGTGTTCGTTGATGTATCTTACTTTTTGAATGTTGTTACTATATTTATTGTGCATTCAGAGGCCTACTCCTGCCTGAGCTCGCTTGCTTTAACTACTCCGCTGTACAGGAATATAAATTTGTTTCTATTGACACTTCCTTTCTCTTTCTTTTTTGTTTTATTTAGGGCACATATATCATTTTTATGGAGCTCCAATTCCTGCATAACTTACTGTTCCCGTTTATTCCACGATGCGATGTTCCAAGTGCCGATTCGTAGATTATTTGGTCTCTTTGTCCTTTTTATTGCGTGGTCCGTCTTCTGTGTATCCGTCCAATGCCGAGGCTTCTGTTCGGTTCTACGGGCATTGATTTTTTGACAGTAGGTAGGCTGCTAACCTTGCTTACCAACCCCCTTTTCGGAGGACCATTTCTCCCTTCCTCGTCAGTCTTGACCCTGCCTTCCATTGGGGTTGGTTACCCAATCTCCAGCAAAGTTGCTCAGGTTTTCCAAGGTTCACCTGATTTTGCTTTTTTTATTTTAATTGTGGATAACAAAATTGGAATTGTAAATAAAGCACAAGCAACTAATAATTAAGCAAAAAGACAATTAATTTTATTAACATACGTCAATTTAATCAAATTTGAATGATCATGTGACAGGTAGACTTTTAAAATTTGAATAAACTGTAATTATGACGTCACTAGGAAAGTTTTATTTTTGGTAAAATATTTGACCCTCTGGCACGGACTTAACAATTAAAGACATTAAAATAGTTTTGGGTCGAGTTTTAACCGCCTTTCCATTTGAGGATGAATGCAGTGGAAAGAGCCACAAATACAGAAAAACTGCTACCTAGTATTATGTGGTTTATGTGAGGGAAAACTATAAACTCAGAGCTTTTTGATGTTTTTTTGCTCTTTTATATAAAATTAAACTTAATAGATTACACAGAAGAAGAACAAGAAGGCCAAGAGAACTAAAAATAGCAGAACGAAACAGTTACGATACAGTAGAAAAAACTAGTGTCGAACGAGTTTAAATGTCTAATATAAAAGCTGAATACCTGGTGGGTAGTAATTACGATAACAACTTCGTATTAAAATAAAGTATTGTCGATAATGCAAATTTGTTTAATACTTACATGATGCTGATGACGACGCCGATGAACTACCTGTAACCAAAAAAAGAAATTTTGTTATATTAATTCCTAAAATAATTCGTTCAGGTTTAAACGTAATAAACATTTGGATTAAACAGAACTAAGTAGATTAAAAATGATATTTTTATTATAAGTTTTTTGAAATAATATTGGATCAGTTACATAATAGTATATTTCTGAGCATTAATGTATAAATTAAATTACGGTTCATGAAAATAACAACTTATAATCTCATATCATTTTCATCTGTAATACACTGCCTCGCAAATTTAACCAGATACGTAAAATTTAAAAGTTAGCTTTGTTAAATTTTTATAAAATTGGGATTATCCATTCCTTCTTAAACAGTGCATCATATTTTTGTGGCTGAAAAGAAAGCTTTTGTTAATGTGCTTTGGATAAAGTGGATATTAACTTATAAAATAATTTTTTTTAAATTACTTGCATTCTTCTTCTTCCTCCTTCTTGTATGTAGACTTTAAAGACGGTTTCTTTTTCAATATTAGCCTCCTAAATTGTTTAAATTGTCGCACTATCTTTTTCTTGGTCTGCCAATACTTTTTCGTCCATTTGGTGACTTTTCTCGTGCTATTCGTACTATCCTATCCTCTGCCATTCTACTAATGTGTTCTTTCGACTCCTTTTTCTGTTTTCCCCTGATATTCGTCGGAGTATTTTCATCTCTGTTGTTTCTATTAGTCGTCTAGTTTCAGATGTGTCAGATCTTGTCTCCGCCGTGAATGTTAATATAGGTCTAATTTCTGCTTTATAAATTCTTGTTTTTGTGTCTTTTCTTAGGTGTTTAGAGCAAGTACAGCGCTGGGTGTTAGCTGTAGGACAGTCTGAAAAGTTCGTCAGAAAAGATTGGATCATAACGGAGACTTACCCAAAATTCTGAAAAACCCACGTTAATGGCCCAAGAAGGAAACCAATCGGGAAATTACCTACGATGAGAATATCAGGAGCCAATTCAGAAGACTTGTTCACATGGAATTTTTCTTAAAGAATATACCTCTCACAATCAAAGCTATTCTGGATGCCGTTAATTTACACGAAAATTTGCCTAAATTTTCCAAAAATACTCTATATCGACTATTGTGAGAGATTGGGTTTATTTATGAAAAACGAGGAAAGAAAGCAGTAGTGATGGAACGTCCAGACATAATAAATTGGAGGCATAAATTTCTTAGAAAAATAAAGAATTATCGAAATCAAGGATACAATATTTTCTATTTGGATGAAAGTTGGGTAAATATCGGACATACAGTAAATAAGGTATGGATGGATTCAACCATAACCAGTTATAAAGATGCATTTTTAAAAGGCTTGACTACTGGTCTAAATGATTCAAAACAAAGAGGCCCGAGATTTGTCTTGTTACATGTTGGATCTGATAGAGGTTTTCTACCAAATTCAGAATGTGTATTTTTAGAAAAAAAAGGTTCAGGCGACTACCATGACGAAATGAACGGCGAGTCTTTCGATGACTAGTTTGAAAATAAACTAATCGCAAACCTGCCAAAAGGAGAAAAAAATGTGGTAGTAATGGATAATGCTCCATATCATTTATGCAAACAAAATTTCACAAGAAGCTCCTGGAACAAACAACAAATTCAAGAATGGTTAAGAGAGAAGGATATATTTTATGAAGAAGATTATTTAAAGTCAGAACTATTGGATGTAGCAAACAGTTATGCAGATATATACGACAAATATAACATCGAAATACGATGTTGGTCGAGAAATACGGAGTAGAAGTATTACGATTTCTCCTATCACATTGAGCTTAATCTAATAGAGATGGTTTGGAGCCAAATTAAACATTACGTTGCAGCCCGAAACACTGACTTTACAAAAGATCGTGTGCAGCAACTCATCCATGAAGCGTTTGCCAATGTCTCTGCTGCACAGTGGCAAAAGTATATACAGCATGTCATCAGAATTGAAAAAAAATGTGGAAAGCTGGCAACTTACAAAAAGATATCCTACCGGTGATTATCATAGCCAACACCGGCAGTTCCAGTAAGGACGATTTTCCCAAAATGGAATAGAGATCACACACTGTTATTGTAAGTCTTATCTTTATTCAATATACTACATTATACTTCTAATAGGATTGCATGATTTAATGTTATCGTACAGGAGGGCCAACGCGGTCCTGTATCACACCTCCAGACTATGAACGTGCCTAGTGGCATAAGCGGCAACGTCGCTTCTCATAAGCACTGTACTGAAATCCTCTTGTGAATTTGTCTAAAGATCTGTACCTAAGGATGAAAACTATTCAATGGCTGCAGCTGTACATTAGGACATGTCTGGAAGAACATAACTGTATATTATATGCATTTTATACTTAGGTAAAAATTTTTTCCCAATGCAGAATATTGCTCGGTCTCACATAGCTAGGATAGCAATGCAATACTTTACAGATGTTGGTATTCTGGTACTAGCCCGGCCTCATAGAAGCCCAAATCCTAATCCTATACAGAATTTCTGGGAAACAAGAACGATATTGCTTTGACAGCTGTTATTTAATCTCGATTAGGTAATACTTAAAATTAATATCGGTCAAAAATATCTTACTCCGGAATAAAAATGTAAATTTTTTTTTGATGCTACATTATTCAAGATTATGGAAATTGTTGTTTATTGTATAGTTTTTTATTAAACATACAATACGAGTTTAATAGAATTTAAGTTTTTTTAATAAATTTTAATTGTACTTAAAATAAACTTTGTGTTCGGTAAATTTTGCTGATCATTGTATATTAATTCATAGTTGGCTACCTTAACCAATATTTATTTAGTTCCGTAATAATATGTGGAAAATATAGTTGTTTGTTAAATTGTCTGTAGTTTATCAACCGGTTTGTTGTTGCATTATGTCCGTCTTAATTTATATTAGCACTATATAGCGTTAATTTGCCAAAAAATTATGTTGCTATTAAATTTTGTTTATGACTATAACTAAAACAAAAGGTATTAATAATATTAAAATAATTCTAATAAGATAATAAAAAGAATACCTGATTTCAAAGTAAAAAATATTATTTAATATTTAATAGTTTTATTAATAGTATTATTAAGCTATATAAGTATTTTTCTAAATTTTTAAAATTACTGCAAAAGACTTAACAGATTTGAAAAAAACTAATAGTCTAAGAAAGTAGAATATCATCATACTTACTATAGCTATTACTGTAGGATCCTTTTACTCCATGGCCATGACCTAGAACAAAATTTAAAATACACTTATAATATATACATAACTAATGACAAAGATATGAAAATATAATACACAAATTTCTAATCAATTTTTTATTGCATAAATTTTTCCGGCTAAAAGAAAATGAAAAAGAAATGAAAAGTAAGTATACCAGTAAATAAAGATAAACCGAAACCTTAAAATGAAAATTTTAAAATAATATATTACATTACATTAAAACCAAAACATAAATCAATAAAGATTGTAGATTTTTTGTATGATGAAATGGAAAAGTTCATATTTTTCATGATTCCAGGATTCGGTTCGATTCGATTGTAGATTTTTTGTATGATGAAATGGAAACAGTTCATATGTTTCATGATTCCAGGATTCGGTCAATCCAGCTTATCTTCAGTAGTTGTCGTATACCTACGTTTCAAACGTTTCCAAACATTAAAGCATGGACTTACTTAAAATCCACACTTCTAATCCGTGTAGTACTGGAAATATATTATAACAGTATATTATTGAACCCGAAAGTCAATCCAAAGATCGTAGTTGCAATGGACTTTTTTTGTTTTTACAAACGTTCCTTGATCCTGTTCTATTCGGATTTTAATTCTTACTCTTGGATTTTAGCTCTCATTGACATTACTCCCAAAATAAACGAGTTTCTCCACTATGTCAAGCACTGTGTCTTCGACACCAATACCATTATTTTGAATGTAATTGTGCTTGCGAACTATTATGTACACAGTTTTCTATACATACTTTTTAAATTCGATGTTTGTATGTTTGCTAATTGTGTATTTAATCCGTTCTCTACATTATTTGATTTTTATTTCCTCCTGTTGTTCTCTAGGTACCTAACAATACATGATGTAAAATTTTGAATGAAGACTAGTGTGATTTAGGTCATCTACTGTAACGATCCAAAGAACCTATATTATTCTTTACTTTATTTAAAACGAAATAATTTTTATGCGCTCCCGGTATAACTTATTCTGCCTTAAAAGTATGCCTAGTCATAAAAATTTTGTTGATAGTCAATTCTAGAGATATGATGTAAGCTTTCTTCTAGAACTTCTTGGTACAATTTTTTTTTGTCTGTCCTGGAATGAAAATAAGAGTTACTTCCAGTTTTTGTTCCTTTTAACGGACATTTTGTTCCTTCTGACTTATAAATGCATAGAGACGACTTAACAGGGCTATGACAGATTTATGGATGGCTAAGGTAGATTGGGGATGATTAGAGTCCTCTGTGAAACTATGGTTTGTCTTTGACTGAGAATACTGGGAATATATAATTTTGTCTCTTGAAATTGAAGTCAATCAACGTCTCTCTAGTACTGTTTACTCTAGAATTTTAAAGTTCTTTGGTCATATCTCTCGAAGTGATTATAAAATGGAGCGGTGGGTGGTTCAAGGAAGGCCTTAGGGTCAATGCAAATGCGACAGATCTCTACAGCGATTGGCAGACATTACGAAAATGCTTCACAAAAAACAGTATTCTGAGGCAGTACGTGTAAGAGATGACTACGATCAGTGGATAAATATCATGAATCTAGCTATTCCAGCTGGTGAAGCTCAATGATGAACCACAACACATCTGCTAAGATTTTAATGCAATTCATCGAATATACAACATTCGTAGACATTCGCAAGTTACTAGATTCCGTAGTCATTAATTGATTGTTACAATATTCATTAGAACATATATAGCAATAAATTATACCATGAGTACATGGTATGTAATCTGGTTATGAATACACAACTAAACTTCAGTAGAACTTTTGACGTTTCTATTTATTTGAGGATGATGTTTTTTTGAAAAATTTCAACAAATAGTATGATAAAAAGCATGAAAAACTTTTGTCTTTTGGGCCATAAATTCAATAATTTAATAAAAAGAAAGGTAAATTTACACTATATTAATATTCTAACATTATAGTTATATACAGTGTGTAACAGCCAAATGGAATAAATTCTTTATTTAGGTTACTGTACATGTAAAAAATCCTGAAACACGTCAAATTTAAATTATAACTTATATTCTTTAACGTGAAAATGCAACACCTACCTTCAACCCCCTTAGAATGACAGGTACAACCACCAATTTTTAAAATAGGAGGTATATGCTTGTGATATATCATTTGAAAGGTCTTTTCATTCTCCATTCAAAAATGTTTTCGCTTTCAAGTTTATTAAGATTAATTAAGATAAAATAAATTAAATCATGTGGTTACCGAAATTCGCTAAAATATACTCAAAACTTACTTCCCGTTTAGGTCTTTATAATGAGAAAGTGAACAGAAACCATAGCAATGTGGTTTGTAGATGGTAACCATTAAAAAACTTTAAAGAATTTCCGTGGCAACGTTATTTTAACACGCATTAGTAAATTGTTTTATTTAAGTTGTCAGTATTTTAGTATTTTAATTTAAGTAAAAAGTTCGTTTAATTCAATTCTGAAAAATGGTTAGAATAATGAAAATGCATAAAACAACAGTTTTACAAATGATTGGTTACGGAGATAACACCCGAACACAACAGGAAGTAACTCGCTTATTTTATGAGAAATTTCCTAATTTGCCGCCTATATCCCAAGGAACAATAAGTAAAATAGAGAAGCAGTTTCGCGAGTTTGGTCACGTAAGGCAGATAAAAAAGCAGTTGCCAATGCACTGAGTGGTGAACTTAAATAAGAGGTGTTTCTTGAGTTTCAGGAAAATCCACATACATCGAGTAGACAGGCATCCACTACATTCAATACTAGCCATACATCGTTAGTAAACATATTAAAACAAAATAAATTGCATCCCTATAAGATGATACCTACTCACGAGCTCATGGAAGACGATTTTGATAGGAGAATTTTTTTTTGTGAGCAAATGATGGACATGTTGGATAACAATATTATCCAATTAGAAGACGTTATGTTTTCTGATGAGTGTACTTTTTCAGTTAACGGTCATGTTAATGGACAAAATTCCCGCTACTGGGCCACGGAAAATCCCCACTTGATGTGAGAAGAACACAGTCAATACCCTCTAAAGGTTAATGTTTGGGCAGGGATTGTTGGAAACAATATCATTGGTCCCTTTTCATTGAGGGCAACTTAAATGGCAACAATTATTTGGCACTACTTTAAAATGATGTCATTCCAACTTTGGCAAATGTATATCCTGATCCAGAAAACCCTCAAGTTCCAGCGAATACGATATGGTTTCAGCAGGATGGAGCACCACCACATTACCAACTTATTGTCCGGCAGTACCTCGATACAATATTTCCCAATTGGTGGATAGGGAGGCGAGGATCCATTGAATGGCCAGTGCGATCATCCGATCTTACATTATTAGATTTCTTTTTATGGGGATATGTGAAGAGCCATGTGTACAAAATTAAACCTTCTGATTTAAATGACTTAAAAGAACGAATAACGCTTGCGATTAAGTCGATCACGCCTGTTATGTTAAATAATCTTAGAAGACAGTTTTCTTTGAGATTAAGATGTTGCCAAGAGGTTCTCGGTGAATATTTTAAACATCTACTTCATTAACATTCATAGTTCTTTTTCGTGTTCTACATTTTATTACGTTTTGCATTACATGTTAGTTTCTGATTGTATTGTAGCGAATTTAGGTACCACATGATTTTAATTTAATTTATCTTAATTAATCTTAATAAACTTGAAAGCGACAACATTTTTGAATGGAGAATGAAAAGACCTTTCAAACGATATATCACAAGCCTATACTTCCTATTTTAAAAATTGGGGGTTGTACCTTTTATTCTAAGGGGGTTGAAGGTAGGGGTTGCATTTTCACGTTAAAGAATGTCAAGTTATAATTTAAATTTGACATATTTCGGGATTTTTTATAAATATGTACAGTAACCTAAATAATGAATTTATTCCATTTGACTTTTACACACTGTATGTACCTCCGTTTTTCTTCTTCGTTTTTTGAACAAAAAACCAAAGATGTAAATAATTAAAAATTTTACTTTTAAATTAGTTAATTATCTATTTCTTTATGTAACGTCACATTTGTTGTAAGAATATTCAAAATGTAAATTTCGTGGAAGACTTCACGACTTCAAGGTTATTGGATATCCCGGTGATTAGAATCACAAAGGATTATTCATAATTCCTCTACGCGCGAAATATATAACTGAATTAAAAATAAATGAAAAGTTGTTATTTTATGTTAATGTTTTTTTAACAATCATTTGAAAATCTCAATTGAAGATATTATTATAATACAATAATTTGCGTTCAAAACTCTTCTGAGAAGAGCTTGTTTTTATGTGTGTATGTGTAAGTGGATATATCTGTACATGTGCAGCTCGCATAACTGAAGAGATAAAACAAATGTTTTATTGGACGCACACTTACACAGTGGACAAGTAGAAGGAGTTTACAAAATAATTTTTATAAACGTAAATTTACTTTTCCCGTCCCTTATCTAAAAATAGAAAAGGGTTTCCACATTTTGTTATTGAAAGACATAGGCATGCCTCCTGTCCGATGATTTATTAGTGATATGTGTCTAAATTACACATGAAATAAAAAATATTATTATCAGTGTAAAATTTTTATTTGCACTATATTTAAAAAAATAATTCTAATGTTTCTATGTATAACTTATATTTAGAAATATAATAAGAAATAAAATAAATAACTCCTCGATACTCGGAAAAAATGATCAAAGGTTAAAAATTTCAGCAAAAAGCCAGAATGTGGAAGTGACCACCATATGATTATTGCAAAAGTAATGGTGACATTTAAGAAAGAACAATCAATATTGTTCTGAAGCTATTTTCTTGTGGCATTGTAAATTAATTACTGTTAAACTGGGAATAAGCCACAATTAAAGATAAAAATACGTTTATTGACGTTTCAATTTCCACTTCGGAAATCGTTCTCAAAATACAAACGATTTTGTATTTTGAGAACGATTTGCGAAGTGGAAATTGAAACGTCAATAAACGTATTTTTATCTTTAATTGTGGCTTATTCC